TGGTGGTAAATCTGTTACCACTGTTACCCTCAGCTCCAAATCCATCAGGGGAAAAGGGAAGCTGACCCAGTGACACACTTGAGTTTGTTCTTATTTTTCTTAGATGTGTCGTAAACATTGTTTTCTAAACCAATTTAATGTATAACAAGCAGAAGTAGGTCGGCTAGTTAGCACACCTCCATTCACTTCATGCCTGACTTCATTAGCACGTTACACTCTTAGCAGTTGTGATTGCATTATTAGAGATTGAAACCGGGTTTGTAGGTCACCAGTGTTCTTGACGCTCACTTTATAATGTCATTTCAAACCAGCTGGTTCGTCAGTAAGAAGGGATTTCAACTATTTGAGAAACGCAGTGACCGTGACAGAATCAGCTTCTTCCCGCCGCCGTTACCTTGGTGGAAGGATGACATCAACTCGGCTGTGGGTGATTTGACAAAGACGAATTAGGGAACGCTCCAGTTTTTCACCTGTGGAAATGTGTTTTTGACGATGACCAGGTTTCTCAGACTTGACCTACATTCTCCATCGGTGTGTGTGTGAACAGAGGAGCAGATGTGCTGAGGCACTCTGCCTCTATCTGAGTCAAATCAAAGAGCGACTTCATCACACAGCCGGAGGACTCCCCCGCATGAAATACACCCTGCGCTACACCCTCCCTGCCTCCCTCCCTCCCTTCCTCCCTCCCTCTCTCTCTCTCTCTCTCTCTCTCTCTCTCTCTCTCTCTCTCACGCTCTTTCATTTTTCTGCCCCAGAAAATGCAAGCGAACAGTCGAGGGGGTAAAAACATAGCTGCTGTGAGATAGTGAGCTTGCATCCCCCTGTACTATAAATAACTCAGTCAAACTCTGTGTTGCTAAGGCTGGCTCAGCAGCCACTCTTTCATCGCTCCCTACACCCTCACTCCTTCTCCTCCACCGCCTCCCACCTCACTGACTCTCTCCCTCTCCTCCTCATTCACTGCTTCCCTCAGATTCTTAGCAACAGCAGCAGTCGGGCCAATAATCTGTGTTTCCTTCGATGACTCTAAATGTGTCATTTCCGTCACTGCACTTCCTGTCCTCGTTCAGAGCTGCACGTAGAAAACTGGAGGTCATATTTGTGTGCGATTCTGTAGAAATACCCCGGTTCTTCGGGTGTCACAGCAGCAGTCCTTCATTTTGTGAACAGAGAGGATGAAGTAGAGGAAGGAAGGAGGAAATGTTGTCTGAAGAAGTTAATGACAGAGACAGGAAACACCGGGATACTGCGTGTTTAGAACCAACTGCTGTTCTAGAACCAACACATTTTGAAGTCAAATTTGCTGTTTTTGTATAACAAATGTATTATTATTATTATTATTATTATTATACAAGTCCTGCTCCTGTCAGAGAACAGCAGTGGGTGATGTGGCACCACCTGTTGGACAGATATCTGATGTTAAATTATGATGACGTGATTCTTCACCATTGACATTTTTACTTCTGTTCACGTGACAGCAAAATGAAACAAAGGAAGAAGAAGAGAAAGGAACCAAAGAGCTGTCGGCAGAGGAGGTGCACACCAGGATAGAAGAGTACAACGGACAAGTCAGTGAGAATGGCATGAAACTGGTGAGTTCCAGGAACTGAAGTAAAAAACATGTTGGTGTTTTTTTTTCATTTAATAAGCATTTATTTTAACAGAAAACTAAAAATCATTTTTGTGATACCACTGTGCAACAATGTGCACCTCTTCTTCAAATACAGCATTGATGTCATTAATATACTGTATATTTATAATATAAATGCATTGAAAAACATTCACATTATCTGTGTTTAAAAATGTAAGTAAAATCTCAGATTAGATAGATTACAACTCTGGTTTAAGTTATACTATATTAGATTAGATTCAACCTGATCAGATTAGATTAGATTAGATTAGATTAGATTAGATTAGATTAGATTAGATTAGATTATCTGTGTTTAGAAATGTAAGTAAAATCTCAGATTAGAATAGATTAGATAGATTAC